GAAACATACTGCTTTATTCTCTCAATTGGAATACAACATGTTTAATTCGTTTATCTCCAAGATAGAACCTAAAACTGTCAATACTGCTCTTGATTACTCCGACTGGTTAGAGGCAATGCAAGATGAACTTATGAGTTCGAAAGAAATAAGATTTGGAGATTGATTCCAACTCCACCGGTTACATATGTGGTTGGTTTGAAATGGATGTTTCGCAACTAATTGGACAAAGTAGGAAATGTTATAAGAAACAATGTAAGACTCGTGGTTAAGGGATATTTCTAGGAAGAGGGTATTGACTACGAAGAAACCTTCGCACCTGTTGCAAGGTTGGAATCAGTTCGCATATTCCTGGCATATGTAGCAAATAAGAACTTTGAAGTGTTCCAAATGAATGTTAAATGTGCTTTCCTAAACGAAGAATTAGAAGAGATTGTATACATGGAACAACCACCTAGATTAGTGAACGAGAAGTCTCTTGATCACTGCTATATTTTGGACAAGGCGGTGTATGGTCTAAAGCAAGCTCCAAGAGCCTGGTATGAAACTCTTACTCGTTTACTCAAAATGTCTAAATTTAAACAAGGTTCGGTTGACCCAACCATCTTTCACAAGAAAGAGGCTGAACACTTGATGATTGTTCAAATTTATGTTGATAACATCATCTTCGGTTCTACTAATCCCAGCTTAACATCGAAATTCTAAAAGTTGATGGAAACTAAGTTTGCGATGAGCTCAATGGGTCGAATTAACTTTTTCCTTGGATTGAGTTTAAGACAGAGACCAGAAGGCATTTTCATAAATCAAGAAGCATACATGAAGTCCTTACTGACCAAGTTTGGCATGATGGGAGACTCCAAAGTGAAGGTTCCAATCGCATTCAGAATGAAACTAACGCCGTCTCTAGAAAAACTAGCTGCTGATATGACTCTTTATCGTCAAATGATAGGGTCCTTAATGTATCTAACATCTAGTAGACCAGATATTATGTTTTCTATTTGTTATTGTGTTGGGTTCCAAGAAAATCCTCACAAACCTCACATGGTGGCAGTGAAGAATATTTTCAGATACCTAAAACGAACTTCATCTTTAGGCATATGGTATCCTGCAAACTCAGGCTTCTTCGTTCAAGCGTTTTCGGATGCAGATCTTGGTGGGTGTGGCTTAGATAGAAAAAGCACAAATGGTGGATGCCAATTTCTTGATTGCAAATTAGTTAGTTGGCAATCCAAGAAACAAACGTGCGCATCATTATCAACAGTTGAGGCGGAATACATAGCTGCAGCTTCGTGTACATCTCAGGTCATCTAGATTCAAAGCCAGCTTTATGATTATGGCTTGATTTTGAAACAAATTCCTCTTTACTGTGACTCTGAAAGTGCAATTCGAATTTGTCACAATCCAGTGCAACACTCCAAGACAAAACATATAGCACTAAGGTATCACTTTATCAAGGATCACGTGGAAGATGGTAATGTCGAGATACATTTCGTAAGATCCGCTGACCAGTTAGCTGACATATTCACAAAGGCCCTTCCTGAGACAACCTTTAATAGAACTTTTCAAGGGACAAGAATGATGGAAGTTGAATATGTACCTAAACTAATTTCACAATGATAAAGAAGTAACTGCGAATTGGTGCGAATGCTCGTAGTAGTTCGCAGTTCACTGTTCATTCGTGGTTTGGTTTCTTATATCCTTTTGTACTTTATGTATACTTTAGCTTATCTTTGTTTCGTTTTTACATATCTTTTTCTGTTTTTAATTCTTTTTCAAAAAAAACTCAGAACCCAAAAATAATCTATTTGTTTCTGTTTTATTTCTTTTCAGATAAACAAAATTACAGAAATAGTTTCTTAGTGTTTTATTTTTTTGTTTATGTTATTTTTCTCGTATCATAAAATACCAAAAACATTAGCCCATGGAGTACGTTCATGATTTCTATCAAATAGGGTGATGGGGCATGTATAAAATTCTTTATCTTTGTATTAGCTAAGTGTCCCAAGAAGCATGTTGTTGCATGTTGTCTGAAGCCTCAATCGACTCTATGTGAAGCCTTAATGAATCGACTCTACCATTAGTTTCTTCCCAATTAGGCTGCTAAATTCACACTAGTCATATGCTACCTTACTCTTCTCACATCGAGTTAAGAGTCATATGCTTGGTCACATTTGTTTAGCAGAGGTACTTTCGGTTCTTTACCTATCTTCACTCTTCTCCATTTGCCTTCACACTCATAATTGTAACCCTTGAGACTCTGATCTATACCACTAAGGTTTATGGTTACGAAACATTTGAATTTATGATCTTAGCTTCATTTACCACGAACTAAGTGAAACCCAAAATCCAACACAGTTACATGAATTAACGGTGAACAATTAAAAGTTCTAGATTTTCACCATGGAATTAACGAAAATCCACCTTTGTGCATTGTACCTTGAAATCTCTTTTTATTTTTGCGAGATCTTTATGAAGTGTTATGTTACCAAGTCACTTCTTCCCAAAAGATCCAATTTTATTTTTGTTTGAGATTTCAAAGTTTTATCTCATCACCAATTTTATTTTTGCGAGATCTTTATGAAGTGTTCTGTTACACCGGTCACATGAGTACTTCATCCGACATTCATTCTTATATCAAGTCTGTTGTCTGTTTGGAGAGTTAGACACCCAATGAGACAAATTAAAAGAAGGTTTTCCATGTTTCTTATTAGACATCTGATCGTACTTCAACGGGAACCCACACAAAAAACTTCTTAGTCTCTCTTGACTATGAAGGAAGAAATCTATGATCCGGATTAACTGTTTTATGTCTTTGTATAGACATCACAAATTTCTCAGATATACTTTGATTTATTTCTTTATCTTTGGCACTCTTACATGAAGGTCCTCGTGATCTTCCGAAAGTCTTGTTCATGGTTCTTAATATTTACTTTCTGGTTCGCAGTGTAGCCCAAGCTTTCTAAAAACGAAGGTTGGCAATAGTTGGGACAAAGAATGTTTAACTGCGAAAGATGGATGATTACACGACAATTTTTGATGATAAGAATTCTAAAGGGCGCGTGTAGAATTTGAACGGCCAACAGTTTTTCTACCCATTGACACACAGGTCTGACATCTACAGTTGTCACGTCGTGCCTTTTCAGGCAACATTACAGTATCTGATACACACACACACACACTCTCTCTCTCCCTCTCTCTCTCTCTCTCTCTCTCTCTCTCTCTCTCTCTCTTTCTCCCCGAATTTCTTTCACAAATTGAATAGTATATAAAGCTTTTGACGGTCCCACTATTATTATCACTTTTAAAATCTTCTCAAAAGATATCTGGAAAACAAAACGCTCTTGATTGTTCATCGTCTTCTTCAAAGCTTCAACAATGGCTACTTCATCATCAGCTCATGATCAAATAGTCCAATCTACTCTTCTAACTGTCAAATCGAATCAGAATCTCATCATAGAGTTGGAGCCTAGAAAATATGAGCCATATCTTCTACCGATGATTGAGTGTCTCAAATACTCTTTGCTGGTTCATGCTCTAATGTAAATGGAGGATGTTCCCATGTCCCTTCTATCCAAGGCATATTCTTCTGCAAGCCACATCAAGGAGGAAAACAAGATTATATTCGATATCCATAATCAGAAAACATAAATCACTAACGTCAGATTCTATTCTCTTGTAGGGCTTCATCAATCAGAAGATATGCTTAACCATGAAATGATCTCCAATACTGCTCTCTTGGAGATGTTTTATCAGATGGGATACAAGGAGACTCTATCCACGCTCTTAAAATCTCGCAAATGAAATCTACCTCCACAATGGAATGCTTTATTCACTCTTCCATTCAAAGTGTTTTCTGAAAGGATTACAAGGTTAGATTGTGCTAGTAAGTTGTTCACGACTCTTGTCTATGGCCTCTATATAGGACTGAATTTGGATTTTGGAGTTGTTCTTTAGGCTCAGGTGATACAAAGTACTCTCTCAACAACTCGTCACAATGAGATTTCTTGAGTAAAATTCTAGTCCCTGATTGTTCGCAGGGCTATTGTCAAGCACAACATCCCAATGATGAAGGATGCTCTTGCTTTCTCTGTTTCAACTTTCCACACCACATGGATAATCGTTGCAGATAACTCTAAATTATTCTTCATTGGATCTATACCTGACGTCATGTTTCGCGATGTGCCTGCTTCAAGCAAAATTTTGGAAGGGTTTCATAAACTTACCGCTTCGAGGTTCTGTCCACTAACTCCAGAAATGCAAGCAATCATTGATGCTGCTGATAAACCAAAGAAGGGAGGAAAGGGTTCTACGAAAGGTGAGAAGAAGACTGCTGCCAAAGAAGGTCCATTCAATGATACGAAACCTTATCCTAAAAAGAAAAAGGCACTAACAACATCTTCTACTTCTGTTCCGAAAAGAAGAAAACAACATGCTCACAAAAGAAAAACTCTGACACCATCTGCGAGTGAAGAATCATATTTTGAGATAGAATCTGACTTTCGGATTGAAGAAAATCAACTAGTTCGTAATCAGGAGGAAGAGTCAGTTTGTAATGAGGAAGGAGAGCATGTTCGCAATGATGAGCCTCCAGTTCGCAATGAAGATGAGACTACGAACCCATAGGTAAACAAATCTATCAATGAATCTATTCCTCCACCTCCACCTTCACCAAAAACTACTTCAACCCCTATCACAATTGCACCGTGTCCTCCTCCTGTTTCTTCATCTCAACTAACAAGTATTCCTTTCTCAACTCCCATCTTAACTGATTCAACTACACCACCCATTTCTTCAATGAACCCGAAGTCACAGTCAACGTATTTGATACGAGGGCTAAGACTTCAGTCTTCACCACCCATGTTTCTCCACCCATCTCCCCTATTCGCAAAGACGATCCATAAATAATTTTTGGGGATGATGATGATGATTATGATCGTGACCTTGGTAGAATCACCTATAGTCCATTCCATATACGGATCGAAAGTGAAGATGAAGCCACAGTTATGAAAGGGCAGCTTAAGTCCCTTCATGAGAAAATAGACCAACTTCTTCTTGCCTCTAAGGCGTCCTCTTTTGAAGCTTACTCAATAACAACGATTAAGTCTTTTTCTGAACGAATCATGAAGGAACATGCAGAGAATGATGCAAAGCTGAACAGGGAGGTGTCTGAGTCTGCTGATGTTTGCAAATCTACGACTGAAAAAGTTGATAAACTAATCTTTGAAACAAACACTTTCATGGAAAATTATCGAACCACCTACAACAACAACACGACATCTGTGAATGAAGCTCTCCAGAACTTGGGTGCTATGTTAAAAACTGAGAAGATAACCTTGGAGAAGATTTGCATTGGCTTGCAGCAGGATCATGCCTCATTTCAAACATCTCTCACTTTGCAAATTTCAAAGCTTCAGGATGATTTGGCGATAGAAAGTAAGATTATAGACGCTCTACCCAGAAAGATAGAGAAGGTCAAGGTGTAATATCTCAAGCTTCAACATTATGAGAAACAGGTCAAGGATCTGCTATCTTAGAGAGCAGTTGTGCAAAGCTGAATTTTTGATGTCACTAGCTTGCTCTCAGATATCATTGAGACCAAGGGATCAATGATTTCTATCATTGTTCGAAAGCACTTGGCTGACAAATTAAGCTCTGTATTCACGATGTTACACCATATGCAGGGTGTTTCTCCTCAAAGTTCTGATCAGAAACAAGGTGGAGAAAGTGGATTTGGAAATGTTGAACCTCCCAAAGTCCCAACCAAGCCCATCGTCAATAAAGAACCTAAGGGCAAGGAAAAATTGATTGAAGAAGAGCCCATAATCGATGATGACGAAGACAAAGAGCTTGATGAAGCTGAACTTAAAAGGCAGAAGGCTCGTGATGTTGAATTGAATGAAACTCAATGAATCGCCAGGGAGTCTGAGGAAAAGGAAAGGGCAGAAAAGGAAGCTCAGGACACACTCAAAAGCAAAATGTTGTTTTTTACAAAGTGGACCCTGATGCGAATCCAACATGACGCTGTGGAGTTTTCTAGTCAGTATTGGTTGGATCATGTTGCATCCTTTGATCGTCAAAATTCTCAGGATTTGCAACTTGATCTTCACATTACTCCGAAAGCTTTCAGGTTTCGTGCTTTCGTGAAGGTTGCAAATTCTCCTTTCACAGACAGTGGAGCTGATCAACTGTTGTTCTCCTTCTACTTGAAGCGCATGAAGCCCCAATATGAAACTTGGAGTACACACAAAATAGTTGTCGTGAAGGTCATTGGGCCAATCGAGACCGAAAGCTTCCCCAATGTGAAGTTCAAAGTAGCGAGAGGTTCGACTTGTCAAGCCTATGAATTCACTCTCGCAGACTTGTCCTGTTTGAATCCTAATGATTGGATCCTTCTTTACAACATGTTGTTGAGAGAGAATGAGAAGTACGAACCTGTTATGTCCCATCTCCAACTGATTCTCAATTCTTATATTCAAGTAGTTGAATTGATGGATGTAGATATTATCGTAGTTTATAAGAAGAAGCCGACTGTTGTTCCTAAGGGAAATCCAAAAGACTTCGAGAAATTAAAGCCAGGGAAGATATACAAGGAAGGATGGTTTGTAGTATACCAGTCTAGAGAATGAATAGGAGCTGACTTTCGCAAGTCTTACTTCTATCTCAAAGATAAATATTTGTACAGTGTTACCTGTCTGGAATTTATATTGGACTTGATTACCAAGTTCAAGGGCAACCACAAGGATGACGTCAAGTGCTTTTCATATATGATTTTGTGGTATATCCAAGTTCGCAAGATGCTGCTGAGATTTATTCCCAAAATCTATGAAGTGCAAAAAGGAATCACTAGCTGATGGGCTATAGCCTCAATCGATGTAAATGGGGAGATTGTAGAGTATTTAGTTGTTGCATCATTGGGCTTCGTAATCAGTTTATTTTGTAAACGGGTTGGGCTTGTCATCTCATATTTAATTCTAGGTTTAAAGTATATATGATGCATGTATGCATCTTATTTTGGAAACTCTTTTATTAATCTTTTAACCCTAGCACGCCTCTACAGTTGAAATTTTGCATCGAGTTCAGCTGAGGCGTGACTTTTAATCATTCAACATATGTTTGATTATTATTGTGTTATTGCTATACCTGTTTGAATCTTATTGATCTTTAATATTTTAATCTCTACACCACCATTTGTTTAAGTTACACAAATCATAATAGAAAACTGCAGTAATAGTAAGATAGTGAAATCAAATAAGTAGAGGTCTCCAAAAGATATCCATGGATGCGATGCAATCAAATCGTGCCCTTCCCTTTGTTTCCAGAACAACTTGAAACGATTTAAACTTAAATGAATTAGCATAAATCTTAGTGAGTTCCCCAAGATACCACAAACCCTTATGAATGCCATGATCTCACCACAGTCTTACACTTACTTATGCTGCTATAGTCTCACTGCAAAATTTCTTGGTATGATCCTACCATAGTCTTTCACACAAGTGTTATGGATCCACCATAGTCTTTCATACGAATGATATGACCCCACCAAAGTATTTCATATAAGTGTTATGGCTCCACCATAGTCTTTCATTCAAATGTTATGGAACCACCATAGTCTTTCATACATAAGTTCATAAATATAATTTATCATACATTGTCACCTAGTGTCCTACATAGTATAATGAGAAAACTTACCTAATGCTAACAAAATATATATCACAACTTTAAAGGAATAAACAACTAACACAAAACCCTTGAAAACCAATGGAGGTGCAACCTCAGTCTA